AGGTGTAAAGATTTGAAATCTTTTCTATCCATTATGTAAATCCATATATGTAAAACTTGCAGAAAACTTCTGGGGCAGCTGTGAGTGAGCAGGTGAAGCTGTATGGGGAGGTGCCAGCATATAAATAAATAAATAAATAAATAAATAAAATGCATTTATTTGCTTAGAGCTGCAAACAACCATAGCAGCTGCAGTGGTCCTTTTTAATGTGGCTTCCTTGGACTTTTAAGCCCAGATGATCCGACATACTGCAGTGAAACTATAATGAAAAAGTTTTTTTTGACAACCCTTAAATACCAGCTGCTTCGACCTTTTAAAATCCTCTCGCCACATTAATCACACTCTGCTTCGTCCTTTAAACCACGAAGCAGCACGTACAACTCGACGCTAAGAATACATACATGTTTCAGATATATTTTGATGTGTTCAAGGTACATGCATTCACGTGTAAACATAGACTCAGCCAGTTAGAGGCTTTGGATTCATGGTAGTCAGATAGTATAGGATACACACAGGCACAAACACTTGGGCAAACACACACACGCGAGCACACGCGCGCGAGCACACACACACACACACGCACCTGAGATGCCTTTATTATCGGGCCAGATTGTTCAACAATACTATAGCTTCAGTTTCCTTTCAAGTGTGAAACATACATATATGGTAGTAGTGTGCTATCGGTTAACGGCAGTAAGTCTTCTGGCAGTGCTGAATCAGACAGTGGTTTGAGCTCCAACCATGTTGTAGCTATCAGCTGTTTTCCATTCGTTTAGGATGAAGACTGAGAAGATGATCGAGTAACACAACGAGAAGATCAGAAGAAAATATAGATGAAGTCGGCATGTGCTGTATGTCTCTGATAAATACTGCATCTTCACGTACTAAACCTAATCGACAACAGTATTAGAATTCAGTGTTTATGCTCAAAAATCGAAAGTGTGGCGACTGGTATATGTGGAAGCACACGAGTAAAAGTCTCCAAGACTAAAACTACAAATATCTGAGTGTTCAACTTAAGAAAAAGAAAAAAAACTCTACGATCATGTTTAAAAAACTTCACAGGAAGTCACCGACTTAAGCAGCTATTGTTAAAATCATACAGAGTACTATGGTGTAGATAGCACATCTAATAACAATAGCAGTAATAATACTATCTAGCGCTCTGAATTGGGAATAGTAAATTACTGATGTTGCAGCCTGCTTAGTGTAATCAAACTAAAAACACTAAAATTAATCTCATGAGTCGAGTCTGCCAATTTTAATAGTGCTCTTCCTCTTGACAAATAGACAATGCCCTCAATTCCGCTTCTGCACACTAAATCTGGGCGCGCACGGCACAGAGAGAAATCTCCGAGAATAGTGATTAACCCCTGAAACCAAAGTCCTGGAAAATACTGGGGGGGGGGGTCCCAGTTCAGGAGCTGCCAGCCTTGAAGTTCAGATTCACCATATTTATCCTTCATGTATACCAAACGTGATAATTAACCGCTAAATGGTGCATTTGATTGCCCTCTCAGCTCAGAACGTCAGGAGGTATTGCATCACTGGAGGTAACTGGATTCAGTTGGTCATCAGTTAGTAAGAATTAAATTAAAAAGGGTTGATTAACTTCCTGTCTAAAATTCAGACGGCAGAAGATCTGAATGAATAAAATACTGATACAGACACATGAGTTTTTTTCTGAGTTTTCCAAGAAGCGGGGAAGTGTTTCATGAATATTTTCCACACTGGGCTTTGCCTCAGACTGAATCAAAGCTGTCACATTAAGGTCTCACATCTTTGACTCCATCAGTCATTATCTAGGCCAGCTGTACTTCCTGTCCCAGATTCAAAGCTAAACAAGGAGAAGTACCTGCAAAACAAAGCAAAATTGCAAGACCTGCATGAATTAACTGTTGTCTTAAAACAGGGCTTAAAGTATTTCTTTGTGTTTCACACTGTGCTGTATTCCATTACATTATTTTATGCTATTTCAGCACACTGATGTGATTTTATTTTATCCTCAAAGAAAAAGTAAAGTAGTTTAAATTGCTTTTTAAAGGTGCTATTTTTAGAAAAGTAGGAGTGTGAAGACGATGCAAAAGATTTAATTTGGATTTGGACCCGTTTTACCCATTCATTCACTGGCTGCTTGAAGGCAACTTTTTGGTGATAAACATGGAAATGTTAGACATTTCGAACTGATGAGAGGGACCTGAATGCACCATTAGTTTTGGTTTCTGTCACACTGAAAAGTGCATGTTTACCCCCCCCCCCCCACCCCCCATCCCCCCACCTTCAACATGAGGCAGCCCCTGAATGTGGACAGCCCCTCGTATCCGCTCAGAAACAGGAGTTACTTCCTGTGAGGTCAGTGCTGATGTCATCTGGAGGTGTGGACCTGGTGGTTGGGTGGCTGGGCGTAGAGGTACTTCCAGATGGCGTAGTAATGTATGGCCGCTCCCATAGCTACAAACATGTGCCAAATAGCGTGAGCGAATGGGACAATGCCGTCACTTTTGAAGAAGACTATCCCCAAACAGTAGCAGGCCCCGCCGACCAGCAGCTCACACAACCCGGACTGCTCCGGCTGAGAAGAGGCATTAAGTTTATTATTTTTAAACTGTTTAATGGGTCATTTTAAACCCAATCAAGCAGCAGAAAATATGAGTGGCCTCACCATTGAGAGGATGACCAGGGCAGGAAAAACTCCCATCACTGTGTAGCAGATCAACTCCATGAGCTTATACCTGCGACAGCAATGGGTTACTGAGCACGGGTGTTACTGAGCGTAAAGTTAGGCAATCTTAATAACAGCTTGGAAAAAGCTTAATCAATTTTAAAAGAAGTTTAAATATTTGACATACTAAGAAAATAAATATGTGAGCAGACCTCTCATGGAAGAAGAAGACGTAGGTGGTTCCAAAAGACGCCATGACCCAAACTAACCAGCGCATGTGACACGCCCAGGGACCCAGCTCTCGCAGGTTTAGCCTGTTGAAAAAATCAATCAATCAATCAAAAAAAAATACCATCTACACGTGCAGTTTTGAAAAAATATCTCTGTCCACATGTAAACGCTAAAAATAAAAGGGAGGGAAAGACTAAACAGGGTTTTGTACCCTTACAAAACCTTAAGTACTTCAGTAAAGTTTTTGTTTTGCTGGAAAAGCAGCTAATTTTGAAACGCCTTCAGCATTTCAAATGTTAATTATTAAAGACAGTATTTTGATTGGTATAGAATCACAACTTAGGAATGAACAAAATGCATATAGCGTACATAAATTAAAATTTTTCTAAAAAGTAAATTTATTCAAAACCGACGTTGGGATTTGGGTTGTGACAGCGTCTGTGTTGAATGTAGAGGTGCCCGAGTGAACTTCGAACGCCTCTGTCGTTCTAAATGGAGGGACAGTAATTGCTGTTTTACGTGTGTATACTTAGATATACACACGTAAAACTGCCGTAAAACTGCAGATAGTCAGAGTAACAGCAATGGTAGTTTGTCTATATCCACTATTTTAGAAATTAATGTCATGTAAACAATAAGGTGGCGCACAGCGTCACGTCAAAAAAGGCACATACCTTTGACAATGCATGACGAAATCTCATGGATTCATCTTCTAATTGCAGATCTTTTAAAATACAGCATGATGTTTATTTTTTAAACTATTATTCCAATCAGCTCATAAAACAGGATATGCTTTGGCTAACTTGTCACTGATAAGATCCTAAGTTTGCAGTGTTTTCAGCAGTTTTAATTTCGCTGACCAATAATTTTCACCACCAACCTTTTTTTTCTTATGGTAAATGGACTAGTTCTTATATAGCGCTTTTCTACTCTTCTGAGCACTCAAAGCGCTTTACACAACTTGTGCATTCACCCATTCACACAAGCACATTGTTCTTAGTGCTTTCTAAGTAGCATTCACACACTCATACTCCGATGGATGCATCGGAGAGCAATTTGGGGTTAGTATCTTGCCCAAGGATATTTGGCATGCAGACGAGGGGAAGCCAGGAATCGAACCACCAACCTTCCGATCAGTAGATGACCTGCTCTACCGCCTGAGCTACAGCCACCCTTATAAAAACAAGATAATAACTAAACAAAACAGAAACACAAAACAGGACAAAAACCAGGATAAAACGTATTGACACTTTTGCCTCCAAATAAAAATGAGATGAAAATGAAAATCTTCTGATGACATGAAATCCAATCAGAACTAATGGACGCTTTGTAAACCGCATAGAGCAGTTTTCACCGTTAACACCAATTTTAAGTCAGATTCACTTGCTTAAAAAGAAAAGAAGGGGGGGGGGGAGATAATAATAATGTCATCTTTTATTTACAGTCTATGTAACTTAATCATGACTGACAACAGGAGGGTGCATAGATTTTCTCACAACGGACCCAGACTGAGGATTAGTTTCTTGCAGTTAGCTCAACAAACACTCTCTGAGTGCCAGTTATTGGAAACACTATTTGCTATCTGTAATATGTGCTGGAGGTGGTGGTTGTTGGGGGTTCTGTGTTATGTCTGTTGCTGTTATGTTGATTTTAATCATCTTTTGTGTGTTTATTCATATTCAGAGCTCCTTGTACCACAAGTGTTGAAATGAGCTATATAAATAAAATTTGAATAATGTACTTACTTATATATACAGTTTACACACACCCACACACGCCTAGCAGGCTAGTTTGTTTACCAAGGGGCGTAGGAAGCAGCGATGAAGAAATAGATCACCATCCTGTCACACATGTGAAAACACTGCTCCACAGACCTGAAGAGGGAGCAGAAACAGCTCAGAAACGACTCAGTGACACTGTTTAGATATGAAACATCATTATTAAAAATGATATAAAATAATCCAATGCATCACAGATATTGTGCTACAATGTATATATGTGGGTGTGTGTATATAAGTATATACCGTAAGTGGCTCTTCTTCCAGGCCACAGTGTGGAAGAGGGTGGAGATGATGAAGAGTGAGCTGAGCCCCGCCCCATACACCCAGGCTGACAGCCGCTCCCATTGGTCCTCTGACTGGAAGTGCAACACTGAGCTTCCCAGCAGGCTGGGGATTATCCACAACTAAATGAATTCATAGCATAAATGAAACATGAGGCACAAAGAGGCAGGCAGGACTGACTGTAAACACGAGCATGATGCTGCTGATGTTATGTAATGATGATTTTTCTTATTTTCACTGGGTTTAATGATCACTTTCTGTGTGTGTGTGTGTGTGTGTGTGTGTGTGTGTGTGTGTGTGTGTGTGTGTGTGTGTGTGTGTGTGTACATTTACCGCATGCGTGGCACAATTGGCAGCATGCTCATATTCGGTGGGCTGGTATCTCTTGTTAGGAGGAACACGATTGTTCATATACCTGCAAATGATCACATTTATTAACAATTTTACTGTGCAATACTTAGCTGAAATTTATATAATAGTGTAATAACTAGGGTGGTAATGATGTGGTGATAATTCCAGTTAGTGACAACACAGTAAAATTTTGTTAACAGTTTGATAACCTGTGTGTATTAAAATGATAATTTCCCATTGCTCATCAATAGGCTATTGTATATTATCTTCTAATTATATGCATGAAGGTTAGTATTATGTGGTTATTATCTCCTTTTTCACACAGCAAGGTAGTTTGCTCCCAGTTATTACTCTTTTTAAATTCCACTGGCCTTCTGGGACCTGTCCAGTCTGGATTTAAAGCCAGGTATTAAAGTTATAGCTTTGAAACAATTTAATTCCCATCTTAAACACAGAGCCTTCCTTTCCTGTCTCCTGAGTTCACTCCTATTTTTTACGGAGTCCCCCAAGTGTCTGTTTTGGGTTCACTTTTCCTGGCTCTATAACTCCTCTTCTTGAATCCTTAATGGAAATCAAGAGCCAATTCATTCATTCTTAGTTCCTATAAATTGGGAGGTTCTTTTTCTCTTCCTTATAAACTGTGTCCCCTCTCTCTCTGTGTTAAGTCTCATGTGAAGAATCTGGATCCTGAGCTACGTTTTAACAAACAAATTGTCATCTGTTGTCAAAACAGAGCTTTATCGTCAAATATTTCAAATATTTTCTATTTAATCCTTACACAGAAAAAGTAATTCGAGCCTGTTGCCTGTTGTTATAATTTGCTGTATTGTGGTCTCCTTTAGAAGTTTCTATCTTGCCTCCAGTTACTTCAAAATGCTGCATCTAGACTTAACTGGTGCTAAGAAATTAGATCATATCATTCCCATAATGGCTTCACTACATTTTGTCCCTTTCCATTTAAGAATTAAATTCAAGATGTATAAATAGTTTTTAAAGCTCTCACTGGTCAGGCACTCACCTATATGATTTCTCTTATTCACCTTCACACAATCCCTCTTTTCTTAGATATAGTGACAAGCTCTGACTTCGTGTTCTCTGTTCTGGGCTCAAACAGATGGAAGGACTTTCTCAGTTGCATCCATCATCGTGGAACCAGCTTCCTGTGTTCATTGCAAGTGCTCCAATTATTGCCGTCTTTAAATCTGAAAACCTAGCTGTATTTCATGGTATTCTTGGGTTCATAATCTGAAACTGGTGGTGGTTATTTTGTATTGCGGGCACATTTAAATTTGTGATCTTGTACTATTATTTTTGAAGTTTTTATTGTTTTGTGCAGCTCTTTGGACAGTTTTTTTAACTGTGCGTTACAAATTTTTGATTATTACACCACTATTATCATGTTATTACTGAGCTGTACTATAAAGTGCTACCTTTCTTTTTATTACAGGCAGCAGCATTTATGCAAATGACACATTTCACATTTGCTCACATTTAAATGCTTCATCATCTTAACATCTACACTTAAAAATACATACAAACTGGGTCGCTCATTAACCGAAGCCAAAGGTCTCCATCATACAAATGGATCTGTTCAGACTTAGTGGTCATTTATGCAAATATGCAAAATTTGAATTTTAAGCAATATTGCTGTTTTGTAATTATTTACTCATTAACTTTATTCTTTCCTTTATAAGTAAATATAACAGAAACAGTACATGTAATTTGGCATTAAAAAAATTTCACACACACACTCCAAAAAATTCTCAGTCTGAATTATGGCAATATTTAATGAAATATGTATTCTATAGAAATGGGTATTTCAGTTTAAGCTGTTAGGTGTTGTTTTGAAATATACCTCGGATGTTACTGGGGTTTATGGAGCACATGTTGCTTGCTTAAAGGTCAGTTTAAAAAAATAAAATAAAATTGGACTCTTTGCATAATCCATATTTCAATATGTTCCTTTTTTCCTTACACTTAACTCATCCTTTGACTGAAACAAGCTGTTCTCGCTTTACGCCAACTGTTTTCTAATTGACTGCTCCTCACAAGGTTTGAACAACAGGTGGGCGGGGCTTTGAGTCTAACAGCCAAGCCTGGGAGTGCGTCAGGATGATCAAATTAGGTTATCTACTCTCACTGACATGATACAGAATCAAGGGTAAAAAAAGTCAGTCTGAAGCCTGAGCTATTGGCCAACATTTGTTGTACATACACTAATGTAATTATTTGAGGCTTTGTCCATGTTTGTAATGAGCATCTGGCATTGCAACAGAATTTATATAACAAGAGTAATGGGTCCACTTTAATAGGACTTTGTAGAATTAAGCTGCAGACCACATTTACTGTGTATGATATTTAAACCCACTTGTATCTCAATGCTAACAATCCACCCCACCCTCTTGTTTCGCTTAGCAACGCTACTACATGCTTCAACTTGTTGCCATGACTGCCGTTGCCTGGCAACAGTGGGTAACCACAGAGCGACTGAAGCAGAGGTTTGATCTCTTTCAGAAACGGCTCACACATACAGCCATGCCCACATTTTCTCACATACACACGCACACTCCGATCTGTTCGTTTGATTGCGAACACTCAGTACAGAAACTCAAACAGTTCAGGAGGTAGCACCCTGACAGTGATGTCACTGTTGTCATGGAAACCACAGGCAGGGATTGTCCTCCCCTCTTCCCTACAACAGAAAACTCCTCGCTGCTTTCATCTTTCTTTCTTCGCCTCTCTTTCCTCCTCCCTCTCCCGTTCCCCCACCATGGCTCCTCTCTGCTTCCCAATGATGAAATTAACATGCAGGGAAGGCAAATGACGTCTTTGCAGACACACAAAATGTAAGCATGTGCACATCCACATGTTGTAAGTCGTAAGACATGAAAAAGAAGGAAAGGGAATACCGCTCAGATCCTCAAAGAATCCATTTGTTTTTATGAAATGCCCCCAACAGCTAATTATGCTGTCTATCTGAGGAGCTGTGCATGCATGCGGCTGCAGAAACAATACTTCTAAATAATCTAAAAAGAGGAATATCACAGCTGTGGGTATATGCGTGGTTGTTGTCAAAATGCTGATAAGACATTCATGATCCTTCATGAACATATATACACAAGGAGAACTAAAGAAAGATGATGTAAAAAGGATGGCAGCACCTTTCACTTCCCTTTCTCCTCCATTTGCTGCTTTGTTTTTCAGAGTGACACTCATTAGGAGCTATTAATACTAACCGGCCCAGCCCAGAAACACCGTCTTGTCCCAAATAAAAGACTTCCCCACCCTGTATCCAACACTGGCCTCACACTGTCTGGCTTACTCTCTGTAGTGCGCACACATACAAGTGTGTGTCAGTGCCAGGCCCAGCAGGCCTGGTCAGGTCATTAATGACTTTATCAAGCTGGCTGATAATTAGCAGGCCAGAGGCCAGGCAGAGGGACACACTCATGGGGCAGAGCAGAGCTGTGGAAACCCCGTGACATCTCTGCGTCTCTGTGGTCTAAATGAACCGTGAAGACCTCGGTCCAGTTAACACAGGACATGAATTAACACTGCTTTACTTCATGGGTCTTTGTGCTATCATGTATATCTATAATAAAGTTAACATCCACACACTGCTGAAAACAGTTGCCATATAACTGTTTTTCTTTGTTATAGCACTGTAAATCAAACAGGTCTTGGATTAAATTAGACAGTATATAGATTAAAGAACCACAATGGTGATTAAAATCTGATCATTTAAGCTATATATCCTAGTAAACCTAACTGCAAAAAGCTGGGAAAATCTGATCTATCAGCTATTTCAAAACTTTTGAGATTACCCCCCGTCTTGTCACGCTAATACATCCAAAGGCCAAAAACATTTCTTTTTTAGACTGATACACAACATAGAGAAGCTGCAGTTAGTCACAGCTGTGAAGATAAACCACTGGAAATTTCATTCTGTTTTTTTTTTGTTAAGGCTCCTCTGACGTCTTGATTGAATCATTTAATCGTTTTGGTGTTTTCTTAGAAAAAGCCAGCCCGGGTCCTGTGGCAGGAAGTTGTGACGGGTACATGTTCGACAGCGCTTGAATGAATAAATGAATCTAGAAATGTTACATAACAAAAGTAACCACCACATGCTTCCTTAAAGTGCCCTGCATTGTGAAGCAGCTAAAAATATATTTAGCTGTGATGTACTCATAAAAGACAACTGACATCATATCTGATTAAAAGAAGCAGCATGATAATTTTGCCTCAGCCCATAATGTGGCACACATGACTTCATGTGTGAGCTGTGGGAATTACAGTCTCTGCTCGCGAGATGGAACAAATACTACTCCCACAATTGCCTCAGTTGGCCTATTTTTTGAAGCAAATAATAATAATAATAATAAAGTATCTCTCTATATATACCTATGACTCTATTTTGGAAGCATTTTTTTTTTAACATCAATTCAGTTTGGTTGGGTTTGGAGCTAAAAACAAGACCACTAAACATATAACTCAGAGTGTGGAAGTTGTAATGGACAGCGAACAGAACAGATGATCAGCTGATTCATAGCATAAAAGCAGTCAGCAGATTAGCAGAGCATGAGCTGAGAATGAAAATAATTCTGAGTTGCAACATTGGTCTACTTCGTTTGTCCTCGGGACAGCCTCACCCTAGATCCAGTTGGCTTCTGTGTGCCAGATATTAAATAAAGTTGAAAAGGCTGAGGAAGAGGAGGGGGTGGCCTTTCCTCTGTGTCACAAAGATCACAGGGAAAGAGGAAAAAGGAAGAAGTAGCAAGATGAAGAGGAGGGGGAAGTTGCAGGTTGTGTGTTTGCTTAAAATAAAATAAGAAATAAAAGAAATCCTGAGCTTGAATATAGAAATTTGAAAAAGATACATCACTAATTATGAGACATGCAGAAAATACATATGAGTTATTTACAGCTGGTTCCCAATGAGCATCCTGGACCTCATCATCATCATCACTACCAAAAAGCAGCCTTTCTGTTCATCTCCAGTCTCTAACCGTATATTGAATGAGCTCACCCACCTTACAAGATTCATTTACAGAGGAAATAGGCAACAGTTGACGGCAGACAGACAGTGTGGCCAAAGCCTGAATCCCCCCTGTGAGTGATGGGCGAGTTGGCCGCCGATAATTGATTAGTTCAGCGTTCAGATCTGCAGCGAGGAGGTTTAATGGAAGGTAACGAGCACGTCGCCTTTTCACCGTCGTCGTCTTATCCACATCTCAAGCAGCACTGGGAGACGCATGCATCCCGACCCAGCCGCCTCCAGAGGGTCCAGTCCGGAAGTGTGGGCGTCAGTGGGGGGACGAGGGGATGAGTCTCAGTCGGTGCTGATGCTTTCTCGCTCTTTCTCTCTCTCTGTCTTTCTCTCTCTCTCCCCGCCGGTTCACCTCATCACGACTCGGTGAGGGGGGCTGTTCTTCATCACTGAAGGCTGCCACATCATTCTGTGATGAGGGGCTGATTCAGAGGCAAGTCGTGCCTGCAGTTCCTGCTTTGGTCTCTAGGTGGAGGCGCAGGCGCGCTCTCAGGGACTGGTATTATGTAATAAGGCGACGACGTTAACGCATCTAATTATCGAGTCAGAGAAGGATTATTTAAAGCGACACTCAGCTACGGCTCCTAGTCTGCGCGGCGTTTTACCAGGTATGAACAATATAACCCCGTGACGTCACTGTGATGTCATCTGGCTGTGTCTTCAGTCTTCCTTGAGACACATAGAGACTTTTGCTGCTAATATGTGGACTGTCGCTTTTTAATAAAGAACCAGATATCTTGAATATACAAGATTTTAATTACTGAATCTGAATGTAATTATAAAAACATCTCATTTATGTAATTTTCTGTTTCTGCGGGGGAATTAATGAGATATGCTACAGGAACCAAGTGGGGCAGAAATAGCTCCTCACACTGACACGTTTTTCAGTTATCTATTTATTTACTGGCAGCCCCTTACATACATTACAGGTCAGAATATCTCCCCCTTTGATGCTTCAGTCTTGACTATTTTATCATTTCAAACCTGACCTTGGCAGGTCGCTTGAACTTAGGAAGAGGCAGGAGGTCTGATAGCTGATAGGTGTCCTCTGTTTTTGGCTTTTTTTTTTTTTTACTCAGAGGGATACTTTTTGCTCCACCTGATCTATTGGAAAACTATTAATTATAAATATATATTGTATGGTTAATTGCTAAATATTCACTGCTGACACCTGGGAGTTTCATGTCACAGTTAATTTAAAAAAAATTAAGAGTTTGAGCACTATAGAGGAAGATAAAAAAGTATTTGATTAGATTTTTTTTTAAACATCAACAAGACCAAAACACACTTGCAAGTTTGTGCAGCAGGATGTTTTCCCATCAATCGATGAGCAGCTACAACGGCAACAGCTTAGACAGTATTGTACCTGTATTAACAATCTAATAGCATCGATCTATCACGTGAGACACTGCAGTGGATGAGGAGATGTGCATTTGGCTGAAAACCCATCAGTGCTTTTAAAGAACCGGAACTGAATACATGAGTATGTGGAGTTATGTTGATCCTGTGTCTCACATACAAATGTTCATTACTCTTAGGCAGTGGGGTTTGAAAGTAGTAGGGATGGGTAAACTCAACATTACAGATGTAATAATCCCACGTTTCTGTCCACCTGATTCGACCTACAGTTTACAGGCACGACAGCAGCAACAGGAATTCTTGCTGTTCGCTTTAACTGAAAGACTCGGTGAGATAAGACATTTGGTCTGAAGAGGTTAACGAATTGATTGCTTTAATGAAACGTGAGTATAGCAGGGCATCGCCAAACTGTCTGATATATAACACCAAGAAGTTGTAAAATTGCTGTTTTGTACTCATGGCGGGTTTTTCAAACTTGTGTTCGTTAATTTTAAGCATTATGTTATCTAACCAGTACGTTTTAGGATGTAAATTTTATAAAAATGGAATAATATATTACATTACAACATTGTTTTTATACAAAATATTAGCTTTTCCCCAGGTTAGAAAAAAATAATCTCATCTGCGTCACACGAGACAGCAACTTTTCTCAGTTAAAACTGTAAGTGTTCGAACTTTGAACTTAAGTTGTCCATCTGTACAGACAAATAAACAATGAGCTGAAAGGTTCAAAGTCCTTAATCCAGATTTAAACAGACGTAAACACACACACACACACACACACACACGAACCAGATTCTACTGAGCACTTTAACAGTAATCTTTTATTAAATGCATATTATGACCAGCATAAGCGTTTAACAATTATTGCAGCATTTCATTCTGATTAATAGAAAATGCCTGCTTTAAGCAGTCAGCTCAGGCTGAGCTCTAATCTAAGTCATTAAGTACCGTTTGCAGACATGTGGTCAGTCCCTCTGTATACAGCACTGAATGTAACAAGCTCAGCATAAAGCTTCAGAGAGATCGCAAACACTGTTTGAACTGAAGTCTGCTCGTTGAACCTGCATATATAAAAAATATACCTGATTAAAATAAGGCCAAGAAGCTTTGGGTAATAAGGCAGCAGTTTTTCTCCATAACTCCGGGAGCAACTTTGGTCGGAGAAATGTAAACTTCAGTTTAGACTATCTTCAAGTCCTTCATGGCAGACTCCAGAGACTGAAAAGACATTGACAGACATGTGAAATCACTGTGGTAGTTAATACCTGGCAATCCTGCATGTCTGTGTCTGTCTGTGTGTTACCTTGACATCCCAAATGCCCATTCCTCCATCCATACCAGTGGTGCAGAATTTGGTGCACTGGTTTCTTCCTCCTTCCAGCACAGAGATTTGGCTGAAATATTGTTTGAGACGTGAGAAAGCCAAGTAGTAACATATCATTTGTTTTAGGGTTTTCATAGCTGTATTTAAAAAAAATATCACTTTAACCAAATCCCCTCTCATACCCAACCACACATCACCACTCGGTTTTTGGGGGTTTTAATTTTCATGGATACGAAGCATTTGTTTTCTCCTGACCTGATGCTGTTCTTGTGGAGAGTGTTCAGGTCCTTGTCGGTGTTCTGGGTCTCCGAGGCTCGACGGTCCAGGTTCTGAAAACGCTCCCTGGCGCTGATGCCCTTTTGGGCCGCCTGCTTAGGAACATCCAGTTTGCCACCAAATGTCAAGCTGCCTTTGGCACCGTCATACACAAACAGCACCGGGTAACAATCATGGCCCTAGAGGAAAAGACATACAAAAGGAGATATTACAATATCAGGTTGGAAATATGAGAGACTAGACTCTTGTTTGTTATTCTGGATGCTAGAATAGATACAGCCAGAAAGCGCTATTTATTCATTTATTTACATTATTTATATGGAGACACTGGGCCAGAAAAGTTTGGGATATAAAATTATAAAATTACTTTAAATTAAATTAAAGGAACTGTTGTGTGTGCTGAATAAATGAATACTCACAGCTGCTACCAAGCTGTTCTCAGTAATGAAGGTGACACACAGCAGAGGAAGTGTCTCCGAGCTGAGACTGGTCAACCTGTGGAAGTTGTAGCAAAAAGTCAGAGTGGAGCACACAAAGCAATGTAAACACACAACACGCCCAGCTACACTGCTCTGCCTTCACTTACGTGCCGTTCTTGCCGCCCTCGGACACACAAAGAGTTGAGTCATGGGAGGTCCAGGCCAGGCGGTTGCCAGAGTGCGAGAAGCACACGCTGTGCACCCAGCCGCCGCTTGCTCCTGAAGTCTGAGCTGCTGCTGGAGACCCTCCGGACTCAAAGAGCAACTCCCCAAAGGGCATCTTGCTACCCCAGGGAGTGGGCCCAGGCTTCTCCTCCACCTCCTTTATGTAGGCTGAAAACACTCTGTGAGAGTGAGGGTGGAGATATATTGTTATTTTGAAACCCACATGCCATATATCATGGACTGTATGAGGACTTTCCTTTTTTATATATCTAGGAGTAGCGTCAGTGTTGGGCTGTATACGAAGCTTTAATTTTAATAAAGCTGAAAGCTAAGCCTGTCTGTGACATACCTGCATTTGAAATCGCAGGATCCAGCAGCCAGAAGGGCGTTGTTGGGGTGCCAGTCCAAACTCAGGATTGTAGAGCGGATCGGCTTCTTAATGTGCTTACACACCCACCTGCAGATAACAAGAGATGGTTGCTAAACTCTCTCCAAGGACGCTTCTTAGTATTCAAATAAAGCTTTCTGCATATATTAGTGAATTCGCTCACCAGTCGTTTTCCTGCTCAAAATAGCAGACGGAGATGAGACGAGAGCCGCTGCCAACAGCAAATTTGTTCTCTTTGGGTGACCATTTCACACAGCGAGCGGCACGGTTGATCCTGAGGATGACCAGGGTGGGCTTCCATGTTCCCTCTTTCAGGGTCCACACGTAGGCGTTACGGTCCGCTCCACAGGTAACTATGCGGTTACTTTCCGGAGCCCAATCGATACCTGCGAGATTTTTTTTTTAAAAACTCTCAGGAACACATTTCCACTCACTTCTCTATATTACATCAAATAGGCAGAAAAGGAAGAAGAGCTCTGCTATTATCAACGTCTCAAATGTATCCAAAATAAATAATTGACTAAAAATCTATAGAGTCTTTTTTCTTTATCTTCAAAGAGATAAAAGTAACTGTGCAGTGACTGGGATCTACTTTGATGTCTTTATACTTACTGGCAATCTACATAGCCAGCAGCGGATTAGAGTAGTTTAAGACAATGACAGGAAATTGTGAAACCAGTGAAGTCTCAGTAGAAGGAGCATACACTACAACAAAAGTATTGAGCCGCACCTTTCATATAACTCACTTACTTAGTTTGTGTTAAAGCTTAAAGTAATCCATTATTATGGGCATGGGCACTTTGATAGGGGCAGGTGTTAGCTGGTAGCTATGTGCTAGCTGTCACCTCTGCTAATCTAAGTCGCCCCTGGTGGAGTGTGAAGGTACTGCAGGTGGGCTGCAGTTACACCAGAAATTCACGTAAAAATTACTCACAAGTATGTACATTTATATATATTTATCTGCTCTTGTTTTGAAGTTTGTGTCCCAGTAGCAGGTGGGTCACACATTAGCCTAAATGCTTTCTATATGACTGGGTAGCATTAGCGATTTATAGACAACAGCCTGTGTTCTTTGTGTTTTTTGAATAAAATTTTCAAGGAAGTACATCACTTCCTCTTGTATTTTGATTAGACTAAAGATTAAAGATTGTGGTATTTCCTGGTTTTTAAGGAGGCCGCAGCACTCTTGACTTTGGGAATGGCTGATCTGATGCTTGACATTAAGCAATATGAGCATTAATAATCACATAGAGGTGGGGAAATGTTCCTACAGCTTGATTTATTTTGTACCACTGGATAAGGCAACCACAGATTTAGCAATACTGAAAAGCTGGATGGCCATTTCCTTGATATCGATTTAGGCAGATCCCAAAAAATGATGGAAACTTGTGCTCGATGTCACAGAAAAACCTAAAGTATTCTACAAAATCTTGTATTTTCACT